TTGTTTAAATAAAGGCAATGGCCATTTACATTTATAAGAAACTAACACATAAGTTGGATGTTGAATATAAAGTTCAATCCTTTCAACCGAGCACTAACTGACAGGAGTGTCTGGTGATGACTAAATGCTTGGACAATGTAGGGTGACTGCCATCACTGAGCCAAAATATGATCACATGCTTCAGTCAGAGGCTGGCTCCTAAAAGCAAGCCAGGTTTCCCAGGGAAACACAGGGATAGGCTTCTATCGCACCCAGATGACATGTGAGAGAAAAATTTATAGCCACAAGTCTTTCAGAAAGAGTAAATCTGCAATTTATCCATACCTCAGGAAAAGTAGAGAAAACAAAAAAAAAACAACAGTATTATGGTACATAATAAAGAGCAACTGAAGTAGTAGTCAGATCTGGCTTCTAGTATTAGATTAGCTCCTTCTAACCTTGGGGCAAGGCCCTCCACCACTGTGAACATGGGTACCTTTGACCGAGAAATGGGAGCAGGCTTGATATAACTCAATGGTCTCCAACTGTCTTTAAGTGGTGAAATAAGTATTTTAGGTTTAAGGAGGGAGGGGAACCTATCTTACTCCACTGTTTTAATGTTCATTACATATTTAGTCTTAATAGTTATTTAAATATGGTGATATTGCTGAAAAATTTTTATACTTAAGTCTTGATGAAAATCTTCACACATCAATAACTAAGATCAAACTGAAGATATATCAATCAGTTTAAGACTGAAAACTATGTCAATGTGATACTGTTAAAACTGGACTTACTCTTAAATAGAAAGGTTAAAAATCCTTATTTAAAAACTAAGGTGCTATTTCAGATTTACTAGAAATTCACCAATACAAAAATATCTAACCTAAAAACCACCTATAAGGTACTATTATATTTTACTCAAAATAATTGTGCTATTCATATCTTGATCTGTCAATCTTAATGGTAGTGGTACACATGACCAGTTTAGATTTACAATGGACTTGTATGAAGTGAAATACTCATCAATAGTTACTATGACCACTGGTGAATATTTAAAAATCAAAAAATTACGGCTGATTTATCTGGACATATTTTGTTACAAAGCCAACATTTTCACTGGGCTCCCTCATGGCAATGGAGGATACCATTGACCACATAGAGAAGTAAAGGCAATCTCACTATTAGCTACTGTAGGGAGTGGCTATAGGGTCAAGCTCAAATTGACCTGTGGCTGGACCACAAACAAGACCCAGCTTGGAGGGAAGAGCCCTCTTAGCATAATTAAGCTTAACCTTAAAGCCCTCCTTAGTTCCTTCCTAGGTAGCTAACGGGCTGTGGGAGGTGCAGTGCTACCAAAACAAGGTGAAAAACTCCCAAGAACATTGTAAACATGTTGATCACTACCCTTGTTTTGAGCCAACTACAAAATAAAGCTTCGGCTTGCAGGCTGGGTCTGTGTCCTCATCCAGGCATGGGAGACCCACTGAGCCCCAGCTGTATCCTCTTGTCAGTCTTTCATCCTTTATTGCCCCTTCTCAGGTTTACCCTTGGCCATGCTGGCACAGAACAAGCTACAAAGTATGTTCCCCATACAGTCTCAACAACCAAATTATTACACCTTTTCCCAGTGGCTTCATGAAAAGCAACGTTTAAAAAAACTCATAAGAGACCAAAATATTGTCAGAGAATGCTAATTTGGAGGTATAGGTGACAATGGCAATAAAATAAGTATGCAAAGTAAAAGTTCTCCACTTTTCCATGAAGTATTTTCTATTGTACTATAAATAAGCCTTATCTCTGTAGTTGTCCTTTCAGAACTTCATTTGAAAAGAGCAATTTATTTCAGGAATTTCTCTGTTGATAACATAAATATGTGACAAGAGCAATTCTGAGGCACTTTTCTCAAACTTTTTGGTAAAGTTTGGTTAATACATTTTTAAGTGTTCACAGCTGTACGACACAACTTTTTAATGGAACATATTATTTTTGATATGTTTGTTAAATGTGGCAAAAGGTCTTAAAAGGTATTCAGTAGCATCCTACACACTGGATCCCATAACTTAGTTTAATCTTAAGACACCCACTTGTGCCAGGGTCAGCAGAGCAAAAAATTCCATTTATAAAAAACTGAGCTTCCTGTTTAAAGCTCCATCTTTAATCCCATTCATTAAGAGCTATTTAAGTTCCACATGAACTGCTGTATTGGGCTTTTACTGAAACTACCAGTAAACTCCAATATTCCAGTTTAGAAACTTCAACATGGTTGCTGTGGGGATTCTTTCAGAGCAACTTGCGACAGGACTGCTCTGTTTGCCACAGCAGCAGCTGCCACTTCGCCCAGCAGAACAGGGTGTAACATTCCTTTCTTTCCGTGTTTACTTAATGGCACACTAGCTCTCAGGCATGCGGTCTGCTGAAAACTACAACCGTTATTGTTCACTGCCGTGTACACCCTTTACTACAGAGTTTCACACCAACACCCCCTTTTTAGTCTCTTAACAATAAATGAAAACACACTACTTTATATTTTTGGGTCAAATTAATTTTATTATGTTCCATGATGAATTGCCACCAGTGCAACATCCTATTCACTATACATTTCAAAAAAAAAAAAAAAAATTCACATACTAAACAAAATTTCAGTTGATAAATGGAAATGAATGATTGAAAGTCATTTTAAATCTCATACACACAATATGTGGCTAGCTGAATGTCTATCACGTAGCATTTAGATTTAAAAAGCCTCATGCTAGTTTGTTAAATGCGAAGGCTGTCAGACAATCACTTAGCTGGAGTATATATAGGAGGCTTCCAGACAAGGCACAGGTACAGTGCTGCCCACAGTGCAAGGTGGTGGAGGACTGAAACATGCAACCTTTACATCTAACGCAGACTCAGTCCTCATGCCCGGACTGAACTCCACTGCTGCAGTGTTTCAACCAATAGTAACTTAGACTTTGTGCAACAACAAGTCCTTTTCTTTAACAAAGGAAGAATAAACTCAAATACCTTTGGCAAATTTTTTACCCATCTTAGGTGTTTAAAATTGTGTTTACAACTCAAAGAATTCATAGCCTCTGCTCAGAGCAGCTCCTGATAGTTATCATACCACAGTTAGCGGAAAACCCTGAATTCCTTGGCCAAAAGTTAGAGAGATCTTAAATTGGCATTACCTTAAAGACATTTCTAGAATATTTAAAATGCTTTTTATAATGTTGAAAAGAAAAAAATGGAAAATGTTGATATTACTTAAAGTAAGTATCATGTTCTATTTGCCATTTGCACAAATTCCTAATTTTATTGGTTAGTAGTTGTCTAGCCTCATCTACATCAGGTTCAACTGAGCTTAAGCCACAAAAATTATAAAGCAGAAAAAGGTTTCCAGCAGCAGAGGGCACTGTTTCTGCAAGAACAAAAGTCTAGAATCTTTCCCACGTGCTTAAATTACTCTTGCGAGGAAGGTAACATTCTTTGAATAATTTAACTGTTTTACTGTACCACTTAACTGCTTTCAGCAACAAAAACCTTTTAAATTATTTCTAATGATAACTAGATGCATGATCACTAGAAGTTATGTGATAACTGGTTAAATTCAAGTCACATCTTGCAGGTCCAGCCTGTCAAGATCATGCCAATACTAGATTTGGGTCGGTATAATTCTAGAGAGCTTAATTTTTCATTGGATACTGTGATTACAGTAATGAAATACATTTGGAACTACGTTCTGCATGACTCAATGTGAGAAAAAAATGTCTGTATTTAAATCAGATAATTTTTCTATCTAAAATTTAAAGTAGGCAGGTATTATAATTAGTGTTATAAATATGAAAACCACCTTTAGGCAATTAGTGTATTGAAGAGGCAAGGAAACCCTAATTTTAACATATCATTTTTCTGTGCATAACAAATGTACAGGTTGCAAAGTTTTATTTTTATTTTTTTAAAAGTCTGTCATTGTTTTGCATTTTTTAAGAAATTTGACATTGGGAAACACAATCTTGGAAGAAAAATGTAACCCTTCACCTAACATTTGACAAAAACCTTAAGAAATTATAAAAAATTTAAAAAAAAAGCATAATGGGTTCAACAGATTAGTTTCTTATGGCTGCTATTTTTCAATACCTCAATTGATATAAACTTCGAAATAAAAGTTAATCTCTTATCATTTCTATAATGTTCTAATTTTTATACTATACATAACCAAATGGTGAAGTAATCATAATATAGTTGACTTCAGTTCATATGAAAATTATTCACAAGATTCCCCAAAGTCCAATAATTTAAATAAAATTTATTTCAGAATAATGCCAAAATATTTTTAAAATTTTTGCCAAAAGAGCCAATCAAGTACAGGTATGTAAGGGCTCCTAATGATACCAGCCTCCAAATGCCACTGCTTTATCTAACAGGCAATATTGCTGTAAGAGGTGTGTTACTCATTTCCCTAACTAGCATTTCTGTGGTGATTTTTTGTAGAGCATATTGCTAAAATTTGAGAAACTACATCAGTGTAGTGATGTCTAGAGAACTGTGCAATGTATCAGCTTCAACATTCATATTTGTGTTCAAAATAAAGGGGCTAAATAAACTAAGGTTTGCATCATTTAAAAAGAATGTAGTGCTATACTAGATTTTAATAAGAAAATTTAGGTACAGAAAAAGTAGGGTATGAAAATAGTGTTTTCCTTCTGGCATTATAACTAAATTACATTAAGGTTTTTGTCAGTCTCACATATAATATTTAAACTCCCTTGTTGATGGAATGAAAAATATTCACAAATTGAGTGAGCATCTGGTGTAAACTTGCACACAAGAACAGGGAGTAGCTTTGTAGAGGATTATGACAAACCTTTACAGATTAAATGAGGTATTGCACAGATTAATAAAAAAAAAGCAAAAAAGGCAACAAAAATATACAGCAAATTGGTAGAACATTTACATGGTAATTTTACAGAATCCATAGACAGAAAGTAGTGTTTAGTATTTCACCTTAAAAATATATATATATAATATATAGATCAATCTTCCCACTCATCATCATCTTCAAAATCTTCTTCTTCTTCTTCATCCTCATCTTCATCTAAAAGAAAATCAAGACAATTAAAACCTATATATACACATAAAATATTATATAATTCTTGAGTGATTTCTCCAATTATTCAACCTCTGAAACACAAACCATTTGATACCTGAAGAATCTAGTTACTAAGATAGTTAAAAATGAATCTAATAAAATGCATTTAAAAAGTGTAGTGATGAGTAAGAGATAAGAACTGGAGTCAGAAGACAGATTCTGGTCCCTTAGTATTTACCTTACAAATTTCAACCTGTGTGTTTCTCTACGTGTAAAGTCACATTTAGGTTGGGCTTCTCTGAATTTTAGATTCGCATAGCAAAAATCCAAATGCTGATTTGTATTCTCTACATGGATTCTCAAACTCAAAAGTTCTAAAGTTTCATCTCCTTCTCCAACCTGGTTTTCCCCCAACATCCTAGTCTATACCCTGATGATTACCAGTCTCTGGTGTTTAGGCCCCAAACTTAGAAGTTAATCCTGTTCTCACCCCCACTCCTCATCCAATCCATCATGCTGCACTTCCACTACTTCCTCCACTTCCACTACTGCTCCCACACCACCATCATATCTTGCTTGGATATTACAACTCTGTAGTCCATTCGCCTTAAAGCAAATATTTAAATTCTAAGTTTTAAAAATGTAATTTTTATTGATATGTGGCTAACTACTGTCATTTGAATAAAATTTGATGTTACCTCACTCTACAAGACCTTACATGATTTTCCCAGTTATTGTCTCTTCCCTCCTCCAAACTTTTTCATATGCCATCTCCTGCAATTCACTGTTGCTGGATGCATAGCCTTCTTTCTGTCCCTTAAACATGCCAAATTTATTCTTGTTTTAGAGCTTCTGAAGAACATATTCCTCTGTGTGGATGAGTCTTTTCATCCTTTAGATTTACTCAAAAACCACTTCTTCAGAGAGGCTACCCAGACCAACCTATGTAAAGTATAACCATCCACCACAATCAGTACCCTTCCTCTTGATAATTCTTCATAATACATACCACTACCTGAATTTCTTATGTTTACAGATCAGTCTTCACACTAGACTATAAGCCCTAAAACTTCAGTGATAGATAGCACCTTTTTTTTTTTTTTTTTTTTTAATCACTGAAGTAGAGGCCTGGTGCATGAAATTCATGTACAGCGAGGGGGATTCCCTAAGCCCAGCCTGCACCCTCTCCAATTGGAGACCCCTTGGGGGATGTCCGACCGATGGTTTAGGCCCTGTGGGATCTGGCTTAAACCAGCAGTCTGACATCCCTCTCGCACGCAATCTGGGACCGCTGGCTCCTACCTGCTCACCTGTCTGCCTAATGGCCCCTAACTGCCTCTGCCTGCCAGTCTGATCACTCCTAAGTGTCCTCCCCTGCCAGCCTGGTTGCCCCCAACTGCCAACCCCTGCCGGCCTGATCTCGCTCTCAATGGCCCTCCCCTGCCAGCCTGATGTCACCCCCAACTGCCCTCCCCTCCCTGTCTGGCTGCCTCCAACTGCCCTCCCCTGCTGACCAATTTGGTTTTGATTGGTTGGTTCCTATGCCAGTGTCAAAAGCTCTGCTTCCTAGACAGTCATTGGCTCCCCACAGCACCCACATTAGGTTCTGACTGGTTGATTCCTATGCCAGTCAGTGTCTCTGGGCCTATAAACAGGGCCTGATCAGAAAGGCGAGGCTGATCAGCAGCCCCAGTGGAGGCCTGGAGAGTAATGGAGGTATGACTGCTGGCCAGACTGAGAGAGATAAAAAGAGGCAAATGTTGATCAAAGGCTGCCACAAAGGCTTCACACTGATCCATGCCTGCCATATGCAAATTAATCCCATCTTTGTTGGGTTAATTTGCATACTCATTCTGATTGGCTGTGAGCATAGCCGACTAATGGTTAATTTGCATGTTTCTCTTTTATTAGGTAAGATTCTTAGCATCAGAACAATGTTTCATGAAGCTGCTCAATAAATACATGCTGAGTGAATGAATAAATATTAAGATGTCATCAAATCCTATGAGCAATCTTTTATATTATATACCAACTTCCCATAATTACTGACCTTTAAAAACTATACATCTCATAAAACCCTCAAAGGGCAAATTTGTGAGAATAATGACAGAGCAATTGTATTGGATAATAACTTAGTAAAACACCAATAGAAACTGAATATGTGACATGTGAGCTATGGGTAAAGAAGACAGAATAATCTTTTTGCATGTAAAATAGTTTGAAGGCTTCTACAAAGAAGTACTTGAGCTCTTGGATTAGAACTTGAAAATTAATAAAAGCCAAATAAGAGCAAAGATATATTCCCTGAGCCCCAAACTAAGTTTTTACTTTTATAACAATAAGAATCCATACTAATAAAAGGATAATATGCTAATTAGACTGGATAGACCAGACATCTTCCGAATGTCCTTCCAGACAAAGCCACAGTGGCAGGGGCCATGGCAGAGGCAGTTAGGGGCAATCAGGCCAGCAGGGGAGAGCAGTTAGGGGCATTAGCAGGCAGGCAGAGGAGTTAGGAGCAATCAGGCAGGTAGGCAGTGGTGGTTAGGGGTGATCAAGCAGGCAGGCACTTGAATGGTTAGGAGCCAGCAGCCCCGGATTGCAAGAGGGACAGGGATTGAGCTTAAACCGATAGTTGAACATCCCCCAAAGGGTCCCAGATTAGAGAGGGTGTAGGCCAGGCTGAGGGAATCTCCCCCTCCCCCCGCATAAATTTTGTGCACCAGGTCTCTAATACAACAACAATAATTTTAAGTAATTAAGCCTTAGCTCTAAATTTTATAGAATTTATTTGAAAAGGAGTTCAATCAACTTTATGTTAATCTCTCCATTTACAATACTAATAAGAAAAAAATTTGCTCCCAAAAGCTTTTGCTAGACATGCTTCACAGAATTCACCTGAAGGCATCAAGTACAACCACCCAACTATGCATGTATTTACAGGGTGACAAATATAAGAATTTATCAGTATGCATGGTGAGGAAAAAGTAGCTAATAATTCTATCATCAGGTACTACCACAGTTAAATAATAGTTAAAAGAGATGGTCCCCAAAATAAGTAAAATCCATGTAATATATTCATTACATCAACATAGCTATTATATAATGTTTATGTTTTTACAGAAACTTACTATTGGGTAATTTTTAGCAAAACAAGTGATGTTAGTGGTGTGACTACGTAAATGGATGATCTGAGACTTACTCAGAAGTTCAAATTACTGATAGTTATTATCTAACACAAACCAAGTAATAAAGAGAAAATGAGAAAATATTCTAACAAATATCCATTTCAGTAATCATACTTTTTATAGTAATGTCACTATCAATTATAATAATGTTACTATTCAATAGCGGAGAAAATCTAGCAAAGACTGAGTCATAAAACAAACAAAATACAGAACTCAAACATTCAAATTTATTAAATATACATGCACATATGCAAATGTACCTGAAGAATGAATGGCTTTGCTCCTTTTCTGCATCACCTCCATTAAGGCCCCCACAATTCCTGAAGTGGGTGCAGGTGTCGCTGGTGTAGACTCTTGGCCATCAGATACCTTAGGGAAAAAAGTTAGCAAAATTCAGTAATAAATCCTTTGCAAAATATTTGTCTCTAGAAAGTTTTACTTTCTTAGAATCAATTATTATTTTAAATAAAAAACAAATAAAAATACGAACCAAGCCCAGGACAGCATTAACTAAATTAAAAAGAAATAAGCTACTACCTTAAAAGAATTATTGAAGACATATTTCTGCTCCTTCTTAATGTATAAGGCATTCAATGTAATTCCAATTTTAGAATAACAAGCAAATCCTTTCTTGAAAAACACTTGCCCTTGCAGTGGGTTATTTCTGTTTATTCCAGCACACAAAGTCGTAGCTGATGAAACTAAAATGGAACATCATTTTATAAACTAAGATTCCTAGAGTTGTCAGGCGAGAAGCACACTAAAGATGCCTAAGAGCAACTGAAGAGATTTCTGTCTTCCTAGAAAAACTCAGTTTTACCATTAATTTAAGATGAACCTTTTCTTTAAGAAGATGAGTTGGGTAGCTTTCAAAATGTACCTATCTCACAAGGCAACTAACTACCCCTAACTGAAGTACTTCTTATCTGCTACATTTGGGGGTGGAGAGTGAGACATCAACATCACAGACTCTCCTTAAAAATCTAATTTCTAAATTAAATTATTCTTAATTCCAACACCCATATTTAAAAAGATAAGATACAGAAGTTTGGATTCACGAAAAAATACACATTAGAAAGTACGGCTCAAGAATATTAAAATGAGCAGTTATTTATGTTGTTAATTTTTTCTCTGGCCTTATGCACAAAAGTTATTAATACTATTATAAGTAAAAATGAAATGGCAAAGCTGTAATAAATAGTTATGCAAGTTTTAATAGAAGTAGATAGAGAATTTAACTTTTAAATAAATTTCTCAAAGAAAAATTACGTTATTAGGATAAACTTTGCATTCTGGCCTTCACAAATATATTCTTAATAATCACTGTCTTTCTAGACTTCAAGATTTTTTACTTTACAAATATTCAAAATAGGGGATCCAAGATGGAAGCAGAGTAGGTGGAAACTATACTAACCTCCTCCCAGGACCAAACTGGAATTAAAACTAAATTATAAAAAAGAGTCACCCTGAATAACCAATTAAAGATTATCACCACGGACTCACAGAAGGCGGCACACTGAGATGGTAAAAAGTGTGGAGGTGTGAGAGGGCTGGGTGGGTGCTGAAGTTCTGGAGGGATAACACAGCTGCAGGGGTTTCCTCCCCTGAGAAGTGTGGTATCTTAAATCCTAAGCCAGGCTCCCAACACTAGAGCCCAGAACTTTGAAAGGTGCCCACATAACATCTAACTGTGAAAAGCAGTGAGATTTTTGTCTGCCTGAAAGGTAGGCAACCTCTTAAAGGGCCAACACATATTATTTCATGTGCATCCACTCACCCTGGCCTACTGCAGGAGGGTAGAGCAGATTAGAGCCCTGTGAGAAGAGTCTGGAGTTGGTGGCTCTGAGAAGAGCCCTGAAGGGTCAGTCACCATGACCCTATGTTGAGTTATTCCTCCATATACAGAAGCCATCTTTCTCAGGCAGAGCACTTCCTTCCATGCAGCATCAGCCTGGGGGTAAGTACCATGTTTCCCCAAAAATAAGACATCCTCCGAAAATAAGACCTACTTACAGGTTTCCTTCTGAGTGAAAATATAAGGCATCCCCCCGAAAATAAGGCCCCGATTAGGCTAAACATGAGAGATTTGGTCCACTGATTCTGAAAGAAATGGAGTCACAAGAAATTCACCAGGAAATGGGTTGTTATGATGATGTTCCAGAAGATGATGACATGATTGTCATTGAATAAATGAGTAAATTCTTTTTTTTTTAAAATATATTTTATTGATTTTTGACAGAGAGGAAGAGAGAGAGAGAGCTAGAAACGTCGATGAGAGAGAAACATCAACCAGCTGTCTCCTGCACACCCCCTACGGGAGATGTGCCCGCAATCAAGATACATGCCCCTGACCGGAATCGAACCTGGGACCCTTCAGTCCACAGGCAGGCCGACGCTCTACCACTGACCCAAACCAGTCTTGGCAAGAATTTACTCATTTAGGCAAGAATTTACTCATTTAGGCCGAAACCGGTTTGGCTCAGTGGTAGAGCGTCGGCCTGTGGACTGAAGAGTCCCAGGTTCGATTCCGGTCAGGGGCATGTACCTTGGTTACGGGCACATCTCCCGTAGGGGGTGTGCAGGAGGCAGCTGGTTGATGTTTCTCTCTCATCGACGTTTCTAGCTCTCTATCTCTCTCTCTTCCTCTCTGTAAAAAAATCAATAAAATATATATTTAAAAAATATATATTAAAAAAATAAAAATAAAAAAAGAGTAAATTCTTGATACTGTAGGATTCACAGTTTGTCTGGTTTGTGTTGACAACTACCATTCTACCATACTGTATACATGTAATAAATTTCCTTTATTTTCATTTAACAATAAATGTGTACTGTATTCTTCTTCATGGAAAAATAAGACATCCCCTGAAAATAAGACCTAGAGCATCTTTGGGAGCAAAAATTAATATAAGACACTGTCTTATTTTCGGGGAAACAGGGTAATAGCTTGACCCATTGGAATGTCTCCTGCCCCACACTGTAGAGCTTACACCCTTACAGCTGGAAGCTCTTTCAGTAACTAAGCCTAACAGGAAACCTGCAGGCAGAGGCAGACCTCTAGGTAATGTGAGCCCTTTGCTGATCTGCCTCCAGGGCCCACTGCTAGTAAAAGCTGGCTTTGGTATAGGCTTGGTCCATTCATTGACTATACACTGAAAAGAATAAAGAGCAGGTGGGATGAAGCAGAGGATTGAATCAGCAATTTGGAAAACAAGGGGAAATTTGACAGATACATGGAAAAAAAAAAAAAAAAAAAGGAAACTAGACCACCTTCTTATACCACATACAAAGATACACTCAAAATGGAGTAAAGACTTAAATTGTTAGACTAAAACCTAAAAATCCTATTAGAAAACATAGTAAAAAATCTCAAGAAATTTCTTATAAGTAATATTTTTTCAGATGCAACTCCTTGGATATGGGAAACAAAAAGGAAAAATTAACAACTGGGCTTACATCAAACTAAAACGTTTTTGCAAAGCAAAGGAAACCATCAACAAAATGAAGACACAGCCCACTGAACTGGAGAACATTATTTGCTGACAGATTTTATAAATAACTTATAAAACTCAACATAACAAGCAACCCAATTAAAAATAGGCAAAGAGGACATACAAATGACCAATAAACATTTGAAAAAATGTGCAACATCACTAATTACCAGAGAATTGTAAATTAAAATCACAATGAGATATCACCTCACACCAGTCAGAATGGCTAACAATAAATGAACAAACAAGTACCAGCGAGGGTGTGTCTAAAGGGGAACCCCTGTGCACTATGGAGTTATCTCAAAAATTAAAAATGGACCTGCTTATAACCCCGTGATTCCACTTCTGGAAAGTTATCCGAAGAAACCCGAAACACTAATTTGAAAGAATATATGTACCCATATATTCACTGCATCGTTATCTACAACAGCCAAGATTTGGAAGCTGTCCAAGTATCCATCAATAGATGTCTGGGTAGCAAGCAGCTCTGATACATTTACATAATGGAATACTACTTGGCCAAAAAAAGAAAATTTTACCTATTACAATAGCATGGGCAGACCTGGACAAATTTATGCTAAGTGAAATAAGCCAGAGAAAGGTAAGTGCCGTATGATTTCACTCATTTGTAGAATCTAATGAACAAACTGAACTAACAAGCAAAACAGAGGCAGTCTCATAAACAGAGATCAGGCTGACAGCTCTGCAGGGAGAGAGAGGGATTAAACAAAAAACAAAAAAAAAAGGGGGGGGGGAGAGAAAGACCTCATGGACATGAACAATAGTGTGATGATTGCGAGGTGAGCCGCATGGATGGAGGAAGTAGAATATAGGGGAGGAAATGGTAATGGGGGGAAAAATATTCAAATTAGTTCCCCACAAGATACAGGCTCATTCACTAGTATTAGGTTTTCAGAGACTGTATATTCAGTATTTCTGGTATAGAAGAAACACAAATGAAAAAAAAAAAGTTTCAGAACTCTAAATTGCAGAACAAGGTGCTACAAGAAGTATAACAATAGCAAGGAGAATCATTTTGACTCCCTTTGAGCAATTTGATAATACAAAGCAGAGAACAGTACAGGAGCACAGCACTGTCATAAACACTGTTTTTAAAGCACTTTCTTGGATATGATGCTCTCTGAGGTACTATGAACACAGAATTCCAGATGTATGTAAATAAATGCCTATACACTTCCTGCCAACATTTTAAATTAAATCTGTGGTTTTATGTTAATCATATTCACATACTAAATTGATGATTTATATAGAATGTTTAAAGAAACAGGGCCAGAGAAATCTCAACCACAGATTGGTTATTTTTTTTTTAATATATTTTATTGATTTTTAACAGAGAGGAAGGGAGAGAGATAGAGAGCTAGAAACGTCGATGAGAGAGAAACATCGGCCAGCTGCCTCTTGTACACCCCCTACCGGGGATGTGCCCACAACCAATGTACATGCCCTTGACAGGAATCAAACCTGGGACCTTTCAGTCCGCAGACCGACGCTCTACCACTGAGCCAAACCGGCTTCAGCTGGTTATTTTTTTTAAGTGAAGTAAAATTATGAACTCAAATCACATGTATAACAGGCCAATGATTCACTGATTATGCACTTCACAAAAATACTCCTGCCTTGCCCAGGTAGCTCAATTGGTTACAGCATCGTTTCAGTACATGAAGGTTGTGGGTTCGATCTCTGGTCAGGGCACATACAAGGAGCAACCAATGAATGCATAAATAGGTGGACCAACAAATCAATGTTTCTTTTGTTCCTTCTATCCTTTGTTCCCTTCCTCTCTGTCTTTAAAAATCAATCAATAATTTTTTTTTAAATCCAAAAAAAGAGAAAATGCTCCAAATACAATCAAAAGGAAAGTGATCGTTTAGGATAAAAATAGCCTACTATTCTATATTTAGAAAAAAAATACATGTTTCCTAAAAATAAATTTAGAGAACAATTTATAGGATTGTGGGTTTTTTTGGTGGTGGTGATAAAAAAGGAGATGGGGAAAGAAATTAGGAAATATCTTACCAACTGTTAAAAAGAGGACACACTGTACATAAAAATCAACACCTTACTTTCACTAAATGAGTAAAAAAAAAAAAACCCAAAAACTTGCTGTAAAAATGAGAGAAAAGAGAAAAGAGAAACAAAGAGTAGGTTAGGAGTAGGAGATGGGAGTGAGAGTGACACAGGAACTAGCATAGGTTACAAGGTAAAATCAGAAAGTAAAGGACCCTATTAAGTAAAACCTGCTATTCACCTGGCCTGTGGTCATTTTGACATTAATTAACCCCACTATCAACTATTCAAAGTTCTTAAACTGCTTCTGAAGAACCTAAATGGATAGAGGGAGCAGAGGTGATTGCTCACAGGCTGATACACAAGTATCACCAACAAAAGACTTAGATATATTTTATAAATCAGAAGTTTCTTAAATCTGTGTAATATGCTGTTTTCATTCAATAGGTATGTTCTCTTTGCATCATTCTCTTTTGGTTTGTTACCATAACTTTCTATATTCCAAAATAATCTTCAGTTAAAATCTCTTTCTTTCATCACCACTTACTGCATAGAAAATTCTGCCATTGATTACCAGCCCTCAGCGATTACACATATAGACCCAGAAGGAAGTTCCAAATATAGGCAGAGGTCAGCATACTACTGCCCATGAGCCAAATCTAGCCCATCTTCTATTTTTGTATAATCTTAAAGTTAAGAACAATATTTACATTTTTAAATGGTTGAAAGAAAATCGTGACATTTGAAATGATATGAAATACAACTTTCAATGTTCATGAGTTTTATATAACACAATCAGGCTTTCTCATTTATTGTTTGTGGCTGTTTTATAGTATACGTGCCTGGCTGCCTCTTTCGTGGTTGAATAGCAGAGCTGAGTAGTTGTGACAGAGACCATATGGCATACAAGCCTAAATATTTACTATCTGATCCTTTAACGAAAAAAGTTTGCTAAATCTCTGCTCTAGAAAATAAAATGATCACCTCATTCAATTCAGAGAATTCAAAATGATCTGCTATTATATCAGAAAGTCTATTAGAACTCTTTCAATTTTCTGTGGAGTTTGATTCACTACTCAGCTAAATTTATAGAGACAAAAACCTTAATATGCTTTTGTTTTTCACAAAGTTAGTGATTTGAATTTACCTAGGTAAATCAAAATTGATTTTAAGTAGGGCTACTTTAATTCTCCATAGTTTAATAAAGATTTTTCTCTAAAGTACCTTTTACTTAAAAGTCAAGTCTAAAAAAATTGCTTGTAAAATTCCATTTATATGAAGACTAGAATAGGAAAAACTCATCAGTGATGACAGACACCATCCATATCAGTGATTCTTTTGGGGAAGAAAACTGAGAAGAGACATGAGAGAATTTTCTGGGATGATATTTAGATATAGAAGTACCAGTTACAGAAATATAGGTCTAATTTATGCATCTTATGGTACATAAAAATATCAGAAATTCAGTTTAAAAAATGAATACCAAGAGGGAAAAAAAAACTTTTCAAGGATATCTTACACATTTAAAAAAAAATCCATAATGATAGTCTAAAATGAAAAGAAAAGATTACTTACAGATTTCAGTTGAATACCCTGTCGGATCTGGTCTAAAAGTGCATCCCTCCCAGAGCAAGACACCGGTCGACTGTTCTGTTCCACCTTTTTTAGCTGAGCACCCTCTCTGATTTGATCTAAAAGAGCTGCTTTGTTTCCTGAAGGAGTTGGGATTTGATGGTCACCATCGGAAGGGAGGCCAGGCGGAGGTGGTGGCCCGGGTGGTGGTGGAGGCGGAGGCGGTGGGGGTGGTGCTGCTGACCCCGGCACAGACAGAGGTGGAGGTGGTGGCGGAGGCCCTGAAGGTGCTGAGGAGGGCAGGGCTGGAGGTGGAGGAGGATACATCCTATTTGGCGGGGGTGGAGGGACTCCTACGCCTGGCCGGGATGGAGGTGGCGGTGGAGGTGCAGCTGTGGGAGCTCTGGAAGGTGGTGGAGGAGGAGCGCCTCTTCCTCTGGCAGGAGGGGGAGGAGGGCCTGAGCTATGTGGAGGAGGGGGAGGCGGAGGAGGCCCTCCCCTCGATGGTGGAGGAGGTGGTGGTGCTGAAATAAAAAAAAAAGAAAAAAAAGAAAGCATGTTTTCCTCCCATAAACACCAGTGGAAAAGTATTTTTTTAACATATATTTAAAAAACTATACAAGACAAAAAAAAGCACTCGATTTTTTTATTTTATAAAGATATCTGACCAGATGGTATCTTACAATTCTATTTAGGAATACTCTGCTTAAAGATCATCTTCCTGTTGTTTCTTGAAAAAATATTAGCTAAAACAGTTAAATGTAGTTTTTAGGAATTAGCACCACTTCTGAAAGTAAGGCAATAAACTTTTAAAAAATATGTTAACAAAATAACAGAATTAAATATTTTTGTCAACAGTATTATTTTACATTTTAATAAAAGTTAATGAGCACTTTATCTCTTTAAAGAATCAAATATATATTTAGTTGTTTTATAAAATCAATTCACATTCAGAATTAAATAGCTAATGTAGCCTGACATTAGAATTCATTCAAAGCAATCTGAGCTGAACCCAAATATAATACTTTTCTTTTAAAATGTAAACCGTTGATGTAGGCCATCAGAGATCAGGCTCCTATGATTTGCATCAAGGCATAAGGGGTGCAGTTAAGATATGTCCAATTTTCTGACCAAATCCAAAGCAAGGAGACCTAACATATTTTGTAAAAAAGGGCGAAACCAAGAGGATACATGGTATGTATGTATACTCCCTGAATAAGACAGTACATACAATCCTTCAAGCAGGTATAAAGATTTCATTTTAACCAACTTAAAATTATTTATTTCAAATAATAATTATATTTGTCTAGACTGGCACTTTTATGTCTTAGTTGTTTATTATCAAGAAGAAAAGGACCCACTCTATTCTACCATAAAAAATATTAGTCATTCTCATAGTTTTCAGTGAGGAATTTCCATCCAGAATCTTTTATATGTAAAATTATATGTTTCTTCAGTAGAACTTACAGTTAGTACATTTATTAGGATAATTTAGGATCCAGCTAATACCCATTCAAATAGACACTAAATCATTGCTCAGGGAAGAAGCCTTAATTTATAGTGAAAAAAGGTCAGCTGCATCCAGTTTGGGGTATAGCAGGAGGTCAGCATTTCTATTAACTTGAAAATAAGAGAAACGTCTATATTTTTGTGAGGAAAACAACATGCCATATCCCAACCTAAAAATGTGAATTAAATAATTAAATTCACATTTGATTCTTAGCCCAATGTTAGTTAGGTTTATATGCACAAAAATGTCTGCTAAGCAGATACCACACAACAACACTGAGAAAGTCTGATGGCCTGTAAGTTTTCAAAACTCTAAGAGTCATCACAAATACTAGACTGAGAATGGCATACTATTTCTTAGATCAAATGAAAACTATTATTATCAAAGATTAGTTAAAATGAAAATTATTTTTAATATTTACAGAAAAAAACCTTGTCTTGATGGTATAATATTAAGGAGGGTCATTATATTTTAATTGTTTCAGATAAATATTCATATTAAGAGTAATTTAGTAGATAATTCTGTAGATATTTATAGAAATTACAAAATATTATAATACTTAAATGCAGTATTATAGAACTCAGGGAAACATTAAAGAACTGCTCTCACGCACTCAGAAAAATGTTATTAACCACAAAGTAAAACTTCTGAGAATGCTGACAACTCTGAGTAGGCAATTATAGAACTAAGTGTGAGCTTATGTTTGGTCCTCCCTTCTTGCCACAAATGTAAAAATGTAAGTATGCTTTACATAGGATATTAAATAATGCAAAGTATGAAAAGCAATGACTAAAAGTAAGTATAATCATATATAATAAAGAGCTAATATGTTAATTAGACGGAACAGCAGAATGACCTCTAGATGACCTTCTGGACAAAGCTGGGGCTGTGAAGGCTGAGCCCCTTGCATGAATTTCATGCACTGGACCCCTAGTAAGTCATAAAACAACAGCGGTGCTGTGGGAATGGGATTTTTTTTTTTTTTTAAATCCACAGAATTTCAATACAATTATATAAATTGTGGACAAAATATGAACTCTGACTCATATAGAAATAAATTTTCTTTTTACTTTAAGCATCTATATGCCCAAAACATTAGTAGTTTTTGTTGAGGGCAACAAACCTCACTGGATGTTAGATTTGGTGGCAAGCTAAATGAACTCGAGCGTCTCTGAAAATAAACACGCCACAGCATGCATAATTTAGTGCACTGGGTCAAATAACATCACACATACATACCGCTCCAGTGTTGTGAACCTACAGGGCAGATTATTACGAGTTAATGGATTTCAGACAATTGCACATACACACAAAGAAAGATACACTGGAAAACACAAGTCTAGTACTTTTTATAATCCTGATTACATAATTTTACAAAATTAAGTGTTAAGACATTTGATTCAATAGATTCTTACAGAAAAACTCAAACTTTTCCCTAATTTTTTCATACTTATAAAACCATTATTTGCTCAGCCTAGAAAATATTTCCTTGATAAATTTTAACATATTCTTCCATTTAAAAAATGTATCTTCTATAAAAACCACCATTTGGTGTCAAGAAAGTTCTACACTAGGAATTAGGTTCTTGAGTATGATAATAAATAACTGTCCCCAACACTGTTTTTATATTTAATGCCTGTGCCTTTTTTTGTTTTAGGTCATTTAATTGAGGGAAAGCCTTACTTACTTTAATATTTTAAAATCAGTTAAAATGACAAACAGTAATAATAAAATTTAAAAACACAAACAAACCCATGCAAGATAATATAGTAAACTCTGTTACAGGTATTCAAGTGTAAGGGTTATAGGATGGGTGGTCTAATAAATGTCAATAATTTGTACTTATAAATTCAGAGAGCTCAGAGACCCTGAGAACCATTTGGTGGTGTAAGGTGAGGGTCTGTAGTAACAGTGAACAAAAAGAGTCAAGGAACACACAATGGTCCTCAGGACTTCCCACCATCTGTATACTAATAGTAACTCTGACTTCCCCTGGGAGCATTTATAACAATGGTGCAGTGGTTCACAATGTCTGATTAAAAATCTACAGAAACTGGAAATGTAATATTTAACAAAGTAAGATAAATTAGCATCATAGTAGTTTCAGTGGAACTAGCATTGTGTTTCCACAATAGTAATTATGACTGAAAACCTATTTACATATCTGTTTCCACACAAGTCTATAAAATTTCTGAGACCAGAGACAGACCATATCTTAGTGGGTAATGTAATATTTACTGAATATATGAATGAACGAATGAAAGATAAAGTGAACATCATTGGTTAAAAATTCAGGAAAGTCAAACACCTCAGTTAAAATGACAGGTAAATTCTTCAGAAAAACGATTTGACTAACTAGAGCTTTCACTTTGCTAAACTTTATTATGAGTATAATAGACAAAGAAAAGCAGGTGGCTTTTCAAACAAATAAGGTGCAAAGAAATGATTGCCATACTGGAAAATTTAGTCTTTGCATTTTATTGTGATATTAAGATACAACTAAAATACAAGGTGCTTTGATCTTAAAAGGTTGCAAGTTATTTGTGCATCCAGGTATCAAAAGACAAATTTTATACTTTAAGAAATAAAGTTTGTATTTAAAAATAAATAGAGCCGCCGAAACCGGTTTGGCTCAATGGATAGAGCGTCGGCTTGGGGACTGAGAGGTCCGGGGTTCGATTCCGGTCAGGGGCATGTTCCTTGGTTGCGGGCATATCCCCGGTAGGGGGTGTGCAAGAGGCAGCTGATCGATGACTCTCTCTCATCAATGTTTCTAGCTCTCTATCTCTCTCCCTCCCTTTCTGTACAAAATCAATAAAAACATATTAATAAATAAATAAATAAATAAATAAATAAATAAATAAATAAATAGAGCTGAAACCGGTAGAGCGTTGGTCTATGGACTGAAAGGTCCAGGGTTCGATTCTGGTCAAGGGCATGTACCTTGGTTGCGGGCACATCCCCAGTGGAGGGTGTGCAAGAGGCAGCTGGTCGATGTTTCTCTCTCATCGATGTTTCTAACTCTCTATCCCTCTCCTTCCTCTCTGTAAAAAATCAATAAAATATATTTAAAAAAATAAAAATAAAATAAAAATAAATAGAAGTATTTTTGTTATTTATATCCTAAATATGCTTATAATTTACTGATTAGGTAGTGATTATATTTAAATTAATACCTCTGTATTGTAATAAAAAAAACTTTAATGGCCTCTAAGATTCATTAAGTAAAATATTAGATAATCATATTTTTTCATTCTAACATAGAATAGACAGGAGATTCGGTATGAATTTTCATAAATTTAATATAAGACATCTTTATAATAAACAAAACTTTTTTTTGTTTTGTTATACCAAAATAATGTAAAACATAGTACACTGGGCCAAACTAGTTATGAATAAACTCAAACATTTGCTTAAGGAAGGTTCACACAGTTCACAATAATGTGTGCAGTTGCCTTTCAAGAACTTAACCTAAAGATTCAAAAGACCAAATAGATCAGGATTCCTAAATAGAAATAAAAGTTACCTTGCCTTCGTAGTTCATTTTTAACAGCTTCAACACCTCCCGTTTTTTCAATAAAGTCATAGATGACTTTTGATGTTTCTCTGTCTTTAAGTTGTGCCTCTGAGATTCCACACATATCAAAAAGATTTTTCAATTCTGGATCCAAATTATTCAGCTACAACAGATAAAATAACTAATAAAATCTATCCCAATTTTTAAAAACAAGCATAATATTTAATTCCCATCTGTACAAATTATGAAATTATTTTCTTTTAAGTTCATAAACTTTTAATATGGTTATATTATTTGTATGTGAACTAAACTTTCTTATTTAAAAAATACAAAAAGGATAAGAATTGATTTTAGCCTAGCTAGTGTGGCTCAATGGTTGAGCATTGACCTATGAATCAGGAGGTCACAAGGCATGCAGGAGGCAGCAGATCAATGTTTATTCTATTTCTTTTCCCTTCTGCTTTCCTTTTTGAAATCAATAAATATATACATATTTTAAAAATAATTTAGTTTATGTTTTATCTCCGTGTCTTTTTTTTTTTGTTCCTTGCCTTAAAAAACAGGGCATGTCAATTAGATTTTTTCTAACCAATTCACGATTTAGATATATTTAATGCTCACCTTTACTACATTATCCTAAATAAGATTTAGTTATAACTACACAAAAAATACAAATCAATTAGAAAATTTGAGAACCCCAAGGACCCTGTGCATTGTCCAACACAAAAAGGCACTCAACACTTACAGAGTTAACATTGTAGTTTTAACAAAACAACCAAAAGGATTTTTAACCTCAATCAGAAATATTTATTTTCAAATTAATTTTTCCAAATCCTGACTGTAAAATGTGAAATACCTATTACTTAAATAACCAAAGTGGAAATAAAATATTAAACACCTTTTATGCCTGAAGTTTCACCTATCTTTATCGTGCTATAAATTAATGAATGACAAAATTGTCGAAAATAACAGAATGAAAAGACATAGTTCATTAAACAACTGAATATTCAGAATTTGATTATAGTACTTTCCAGTAATTTGGCATATGTTTATTTCCCTGAAATAATTGAGCAGAAATAATTTTCTTCCCTTTGCTTTCAAAATATAAGGATTTTACTTATATAGTAAAATAAAGCCAAGGTATATAAAAATTTTCTCTTTAGGGACCTAGCCATGAATTATAGAACAATACTATGGTTTCAAACCTTAGTGATATGTATATAAACACAGCACATTAAATAAACACTAAAATACATAACAATAAATAATAAGGACAAAAATCCAAATATAGGCTATAATATTCCCATGTAGAGTAATGTTTATGGCTTGAAAAGACACTTACATCAAAGCCAGTATTTGGATCCCAACCAACATGTCCAATGTGCCTAAAGTAGAAGATAGGGGAAAAAACACAAAGGGCATTAACACCATGATATATATGAAATCCAATCGGCCCACTGAATTGTTGGCCTTAACTAACAGTTCTCATAGACAACAATATTCAGGGAAAAACTACACAAATAGGCAGAAGATGAAGGTTCTAACCCAGGCTCTGCTACTAAATGAGTCTTAACACTTTTGTACAATCTTTCTGAGCATTCATTTCCTTAACTATCAAACTAGAATATTAATACAACACACACACCAGAGGCCCGGAGCGTCGATTCGTGCACTGGTGGGATCCCTTGACCTGGCCTGCACCCTCTTGCAATCCGGGACCCCCCGGAGGATGTCGAATAGCCGGTTTCGGCCCGATCCTCGCAAGCCCGACCCAGATAGGAGGAAACCCGATCCTGTATGTTGAACATCTGTCCCCTGGTGGTTGGTGCACATCACAGCAACCGGTCGATTGGTTAGTTGCTTAGGCTTTCACGTACAAACATGAGAGGAAATGAATTTTGCAATGAGCTAATAAAATAATGCCTGCTATAGAATATTTGTACTTCCTGGAAATTCACAGATGTTAAAACCCAATCCTCAACAAGATAATATCTATCATAGAAGTAAAAATTTTAGGAAGTGATTAGGTCATAAATGGGATGAGTGCCCTTAAAAAAGAGGCCCCAGGGAGCTCCTTTACCCTCTCCTAACCTGTGAGGGCACAGCAAGAAAACAGCTGTCTATGAACCAGGAAGTGGGACATCACCAGACACCAAATGTTACCTGTGCCTTATCTTGAACTTCCCAGTCTCCAAAACTGTAAAAAACAAACTTCTGTTGTTTATAAGCCACCCAGTCTATGGTATTCTGTTATTGTACCCCAAACAGATTAGGACAATGCCTCTAGGAAATTGCTAAATATCATTTTTTTATAGAGAAAAGTGAGAAAATCACCTTTATATCCAATAATTAAAGAAACTTTACCTATTTTTTTCTTTTCTAATGAATGAAAAGGTAAAATAAACGGTAAGATCCACAGAAAGTTAGCTTAAAAAACAAACAGAAAACTGCAGCAAAATCTGTAAAAGATATGTAAGTGATAAATATAAGGGTTCTAGTGAAATAAAATTTTATAACAAATTAAAAACCTAGAGTCACAATCCTATACAATAAAAGCCTAATATACAAATCGACTGAACGGCAGAACAACCAGTGGAACAACTGGTCACTTTAATGCACACTGACCACCAGAAAGCAGATGCTCGATGCAGAAGCTGCTCCCAGCCCACAGGACCTAGGCCAGCCAAGGCAGGTGTCAACGAGGGTCCCCCTTCACCCCGCAGATTGGCCCTCATCACCAGCTAGGCCTAGGGACCCTATCCATGCACGATTTCATGCATCGGGCCTCTAGTGACTAAATAAAAAACTAAAGATAAAAACAACAAAAGAACTTTCTTACTGGAAATTGCTTGGTGTTCCAATATCTGCCTTGGTTAATCTCTTCTTTTTAGCTTTTCCTTTTTTCTTTTCTTTGGTATGGGAGATGTTGCTAACTTGTGGACCATAAAATCTATTGGTTGTGATTTCTGGATTTTTAATGTCAACTGTTGCCATGGGTAGATTAGGACCTGCAAATAAAGTTTAAATAATATTAAAAGGTTGTAATTTAATATAATTACTATAATCATAATAATTAAAATGTCTTTCTTTGAAGTAGGACCACTTCATTATTACAAATTATTTAAATTTTAAAACTGCAAGCTAATTTTTATTAAAAAAAAAGTACTGCCTAAGTTTTAAAAAGACTATATAACACATTCTTAAAACATATCAGCATACATACATTATTTCAAAGCAAGCTTTTGCTTTTATAACATTAAATCTCATGAAGAATATAAATTTTCAACAAGAGTGTAAATCTAATTGGTCTAGTCCCTTAAATTTTCACAGTAATTGCCTCACATCCAACACATTAGTCACTGATAGTGTTTTATAACAAGAATAATAATTAAAAAAAAAAAAGTAAAATTGCCACCTATTTTACTTTTAAATCTAACAAAGAAATCTAGTCTTACCTCTTTGTTTCAATTTTAGTTTATGAGGAAAAAAGTACTGCAATTACTGCTGCTTTTTCTCAAAACGTTCATATTTAAGTCTAGTAATATTTTCCCCATCAGAATAGACTTTGACTATCATAAGTACAGAGCTCAAAAACAACATGAAAGAAAATTCTCAAAACTCATTTTCTGCAATAACCAACTGTAAAATTATCTTAGGCACCTGTTAAATTATTGTTAATAGCATTTTTAGGAGTTGCACTAAATGTAGCACAAAACCCGTTTTATGATTCATAAGAATATTATTGGTCTTAAAGTATAAGAGTCTGAACAAAATGTATTCAATGTAAAATTTTCTTATAAAGTTACTAGAAGGGTAATACATGTTCCTTACAGGTCTCATTTTAATATATGATTCTTCTGTAATTTACTGAGGTAACACTGGTTAACAAAATTATACAGGTTTCAGGTGCACAAATCAACAACATATCTGTACAATTTATTGTAGTGCTCACTACCCCAAGTCAAGTCTTCTTCCACTACCATTTATCCCCCCCAATACCCTTCTCCACCTTCCCCTGCCCCACCACTCCTGCTTCCCTGGCAATCAGCAGTTGCCAGAGCCCATAAAAATTTTCTTTTCTTCAACCCCTCTATTCCCCCAAACTTCCCATCCCCGTGACAGGTATCAGCCTGTTATCTATCTATCTATCTATCTATCTATCTATCTATCTATCTATCTATCTATCTATCTATCTATGAGTCTGTCTCTATTTTGCTTAATTCATTTTGATCATTAGAGTCCACAAATGGTATTTGTCTTTCTCTGACTGGCTTATTTCACTTAGCATAATGCTCCCCAGGTCTACCAAGCTGTGACAGAAAGGGTAAGATTTTCTCCTTTGTTCAGGTGAGCAGTATTCCATTATGTAAGTATGTACCACAGCTTTTTTATCCATTCACCTACTGATAGACACTTGGACGATTTCCAAATAATACAGGAGACTTGAACAAAATCTCCAAACCCCTTTTCTGAGTATCTATCTGAAAATTTTAAAAACATTTATTAGCGAAGACATAAGTACCTCTATGTTCATTGCAGCATTACTCACAGTGGCCAAGACATGGAGATAACTAAAGTGTCTTTTGATAGACAATTGCATAAAGAAGATGTGGGTACAATGGAATACTACTCAGCCATAAGATGAAATAGTGCAATTTGTAACAACATGGATGCATCTTGAGAATACATGCATCTTGAGAATAAAGACAGAAAATGTCAAGAACCATATGATTTCAATAATATGTGAGATATAAAACAGAAAGCAACAAATGAACAAATAAGACAAAGGAACCTACAGACACAACAACAATATGGTGATTACCAGAAGGAAAGGGGCATGTTGGAGAGTTAGAAAAGGATAGAGGGGGTTAAATATTTGTGACAAAGGAGATCTGACTTTGAGTGGTAAACACACAATGCAAATGATCCAAGCTATGATGTGTTATAGAATTGTACACTTGAAAGCTATATTACTAACCAATGTCACCCTGATATATTCAATTAAAAAAAGACAAAGGTTAGTTAAGCAATACAGAAAGCTTATTTTTTTTTTAAAAAAATATATATTTTATTGATTTTTTACAGAGAGGAAGAGGGAGGGATAGAGAGTTAGAAACATCGATGAGAGATGAACATCGATAGGCTGCCTCTTGCACACCCCCTACTGGGGATGTGCCTGCAACCAAGGTACATGCCCTTGACCGGAATCGAACCCGGGACCTTTCAGTCCGCAGACTGACGCTCTACCACTGAGCCAAACTGGTTTCGGCAGAAAGCTTATTAAACAGTAGATAAAGACTTGGATTTTCCAAGTAGTTCAGATATCAGATTTCTATGCTTGCTGTAACTTCAAAAAATAAGAGAACTTATTGAGAATACCCAGAATTTGTGTGTTAGAGGGTTGAACTGAGGTCATACCCATACCTTCATAGACTTATCTAGTGACCTGATTTTACTTCTCACTCTCCCCTTTCTGCTTTCCTCTTCTTATAATTTACCGATCAGTAAGAGCAAGACTGTCCACAGTAAGATACTGCAAATTATTTACTCTTATCTTGATACTCAATAGTATAAATAAAATAGAATATAAACACTGACTTAAGACTGATTTAGGAGTAACAGAGTTAGGTGCTCTCTTTATATATACCATCCTTCCTAAATAGGTATTCATACAGCAACTACAGGGTAGGGCAAATCTTGGTTTACAGTTGTGAGTACATGAAATATGGAGTTTATTCTTATATTATTACTTATTAATTGCCACACCCTTACAAAAGCAACGAATTCGCCATTAGAACAAAAGAAAATTGGCAACTACATAGCTGATCCTTGAACAACATAATGGTTAGAGGTGCCGACTTCACACAGTTGAAAATCTGTGTATAACTTGTGACTCTCCTTACTAATAGCCTATTATTGTTTTATCAAGAACATAAACAGCCCTAACTTGTTTGGCTCAGTGGATAGAGCATTGGACTGTGGACTGAAGGATGCCAGGTTCGATTCCAGTCAAGAGCATCTACCTTGGTTTCGGGCATATCCCCAGTAGGGGGTGTGCAGGAGGCAGCTGATCGATGTTTCTCTCTCATCGATGTTTCTAACTCCCTATCCCTCTCCCTTCCTCTCTGTAAAAAATCAATAATATATATATATAAAAACAAACAGTCAACCAACAACTATTTTGTATGTTCTATATATTATATACTATAGTCTTACAAATAAAGTAAACTAGAAAAAAGAAAATGTTATTAAGAAAATTGTAAAGAAGAGAAAATACATTATATTACTGTACATATTTACTGGGAAAAATTCCTTCGAGAAATGGATCTAAGCAATTTAAACCATATTGTTCAAGGTTCAACTGTAATTAGTTTTTATAAAAGAACAAAAGAAATTTTTATGCTGCTTTAGCTTATATAATCTAATATACTATGTGGCAATTAATAAGTAATAATCTAATATACTATGGATGTTCTAAGGTAAGAATTAAATAAAGTTAAGTTTAACAGTTTCAATTATCCAAGCAATTAAATTATTTTCTGGGGAAATAACAAAGCCCAATTCATAAGTCACTAGAGAAAATAACACAGCCATCTCTGAGGAAAGTTCAAAGACAAAGAGACAGAAATAAAAGTGTTATGTGGAAGGAATAACAGTTTAATTCACACTGTAGTTGTACTATGTGGATTGAATAACACAGTTTAACTCATACTGTAGTTGCACTGTCTCCATTCCTCTCTCTACCCAAAAATTAGATATGGATATACTGTAACATATGTGCCACACAGTTATAAAGCCCTGGCATTAGCTATTTAATGTCATTATATATAAATTATATTATTACTTGTTAAGATGTTATTTAAGTCTATATAAGAATACTTAGATTAAAAACATATTAGAAAATTACTATTAGTTGGGAAATTTAAATTCTAAATGTTTCATTTTATATATGAAAGCTAAGAGCAAGAACCATCAGGTGACATGTCTAAAGTGATACAGTGACAGAAGCAATGATAAAGTCTACTTGGTTCCTAGATCTCTAGACTTTCTATTAACTCCTGTGCTTTCTACACAAATTTCAAACCATAAAGTGATTAATAATAACAATACTACAAATATTATCATTTTATCAGTTCTCTTAAGTTTGTAGTCCAATAATTCATTATTCAATAAATATTTACTACTAACTTTCACAATTTAGATAAAAGGTTTTCTACACATTCATGAAATGAGGTACTTGGTTATTTGGGTTGACAATAGTAATTTATTTCAGACTTTGAAAGTGTTAGGAAATAAGTTTAAAATGGTGTTCTAAAGCCCAATTAAATATTTGTTTCAAAAGTGATAATGGGTACTAGGCAGAGTCATTTTTTAATAAGTATGTTTATAGGAGATCTGGTAACAGAGATACTCTTAAATCATTTCTGAGAAGTTTAATTTAATTTGCCATTAATGAAATTATACTCATCCTAAGAACATGTAGTAACTAAATATTAACAGAGAGGGCCATTTCCCTTACTTTTGTCAAAGGACAAATTACCATCTTCTGATTAAGGACAATTGTCACAGAAATGTGTGTTGTTTTTTTAAATATTCTCATTAAAAAGCATTTCTAGTTAGTTTTAAAATTAAAAGAATAAACTAAGGTCTTCCCCTTAATTACATAAAAAGTAGGAACTCTCACCAAGGTAAAATAGTTGAGAAACAGGTGGCCCAGAGGCCTCTGATGTCAAGCAGGCATGAAGTTGAGAACAAATCTTATGGGAAAGCGTCTAAGCTAAAAGGTGAGACTGACCAATAAAGAAAAAAGAAAGATGTATGGATTAGGAGTTAGTGAGGAAGACACTGAATTGCATTTCAGGAATACATGTTACTTCTACATAAAGTATCCTTTTAATAGTTACATTTGAAAAGGTCTGCTACACTGATAATGTAACGATCTGAGACACAGCACGGACAATGCAAAATGATTAAGGTGTCCATTGCCACCTAGTGGTATTGCACTAAATGCAGAAAAGAAAAAATATGCTGCCTCCAAAACAGGGATCTCCACACAGTAAGGAGAACAAGGCAATCGACTGGAAAGCAGGAAAAAAAAAAATTAAAATTTATATTAATTATTATTTCATTATTTATTGTAATGTGTTATATTAATACCATATTACATATATATTTTATAAATAAGTATACAAATATTGGCAATATATGTTGTGTATTTTTGCCTTTTAACGATTCTATTTTTTTTTAACTCTCCATTTATTTAATGAAAAAATTAGTTTGGGACAATTGCACCAAGGGGTCAGAACTACAGATCTATAGATTTAAAACCAAGATCAATATCAGAGAAAGAAACTACATTAATTATGAGTCTCTCTTTTAGTAGAGATAAAATTGTGAGATGCCACTGTCACATAAAGAAGAATATGCAAATTCTATCTCTTCATGAATTAGGTACCTCTTGAAAAATACATTTTATATGGACTGAAAAGGTTAAAATTTTGAAAAACCATAAAATATCTATATCCTTTTATTTTATTATCTTTTGTACAACATCAAATCTTAGGTTACTCTCTCCAAAGAGGCTACCACTAGGAAGCTTTCTCAATGGTACTTGATTATATGCTCACAGAATGCAAAATAATAAAATAAAAAAGAAATGAAAATATTGAGCACATATCAAGGAAAAATAATTACAATACTGCTTTAAAGGCTCACAGATGAATGACTTCTGATTCAGTGCTTCTACTTCCTTTGCCTCTGCAACATGCTAGCTGTGTGAATTGAAGCATGTTATTAACCTCCTCTAGGTCTCAGTTTTTCCTTCAAAATCATCTTGAGATAGTTCAGTGGCTAAGTGACTCTCGATGTAGATCTCGAGACTGAATCCTATTCCCCCACTTACTAGTTAAGTGATCTTGAACAAGTTACCTATCCGTGCCTCAGTTTGCTCACGTATAATATGGGGATATTAGGAGCTACTACTATATAAAGTTGCTGGACAATGCCTGGGAGGTTGTCAATGATTGTTAAATAGTAGCTGCTAGTATCTTTACTATTGTCTTCATCATGATAACTAAGTTATTGGGCATTATGCTAAGCACTTTGAGTACTTCATTTCTCCACAGAAACCCTATAAACTTAGTATTAAATTTTTCATTTAAAAGAGAAAGTCAGTCCTAGCTAGTTGGCCCAGTGGATATAGTGTCAGCCTGAAGACTAAAGGGTCCTGGATTTGATTCCAATCAAGGGCACGTACCTCGGTTGCAGGCTCGAACACTGAGGCCCTGGTCAGAAAGTGTGTGCATAGGCAACCAATTGATGTGTCTGTCTCACATCAATGTTTCTCTCCCTTCCACTCTCTAAAAATCAATGGAAAAATATCCTCGGGTAAGGATTAACCTAACTAACTAACTAACTAACTAACTAACTAACTAACTAAGAGAAAGTCAAAGTATACAATACTCGGCACATTAGGGAAGATAGTCAGACATTAAAAAAAAAAAAAAAAAAAAAAGGTAAGGCCCAGCCAGCGTGGTGTGGTGGATGAGCGTTGACCTATGAACCAGGAGGTCACGGTTTGATTGCTGGTCAGGGCACATGCCTGGATTGTGGGCTCAATCCCCAGGGTGGGGCATGCAAGAGGTAACTAATCAATGATTCACCCTCATCATTAATATTCCTCTATTTTTCTCCCTCTCCCTTCTTTTTTGAATTCAATACAAATATATTAACAAAACAAAAACAAAACTGGTAAGGCAAATAATAAAAAATTTAATACAATAACATTTGGTTCATGTCTTTATATTGGAAAATAAATTTAAGGACAAAATCGGAAAGCATTACATCTGTTTAAAAGAAGTAAATTCCAATAGTCATTAACACTTGTTATATAGTAAGAACTCTGTATTATGTTAAGTGTTTCTCTGAATAATTACTCCTAAAATTCTGATGAGAGATTTGAGATCCTTTTAAAAAGGAACAGCTATATTCCCCATTATAATCAGGGGCAATAGTTATTTACATTCTTAGGGTAAGGAACAACATTTAAATATAATAAAAGTCATGGATTCTCTTTCCCCAGAATAAAAACCACATATACTTATAAAATTTGGCACACAATTTAAAGGAGGATTTATAGAGTCCAAATGAGAATCTCTGCCCTAGAGGTTTGGGACATCGTCATTTATATATTGGTATTACTTTTAATATACAGTGCTTTTTTAAATACATGAATCCATAATACTTCCTCAAGTTAAGGAGGGCTATGTGCAGCTGTTATTAGCTCTAAACACTGAAAGGAGCTAGTTTTATATTAGCAGTGTGAAATGTTTCAAAATGAGACAAAAAGATAAATCTAAAGTAAGAGCTGAATCAACATGCTTGGCAAAACTTAGTGCCATTAAGGGAGATATTAAAGCTAGATTGGCAGTTTCCAAATTTAATTAACTGTAAATACAGAATTAAGATATAAGATTAGTGATCTATGTAGTATTCTTTTATCAAAAAAAAAAAAAAAAAAAAAAAAAAAGAGTAGGTTTCTAAGCCTCATCTGCCAGGCTGGGAGCGGCCAGGCCCGGGGGAGCAGCCGGGTCGGGTGCGGCCAGACCCGGAGCAGCAGCAGCCAAGTCCAGAGCAACTAGGTCGGGAGCGGCAGTGACTAGACCCGGAGCAGCTGGTTGTGGAACGAACCAGAGCAACAGAGGCCAGGCCCTGAGCAGCCAGGCCTGGAACAGCTCACTCCTCGCCTGCCCCTGCCCCATGGCTGCCTCTCAGACATGGCTGGAAACTTTCGTGGGAACTTGAGGGTCTGCTGAATCAAGTGATGAAGGCTTAGATCTGGATGTGTTGAGTTAGTATAGGGCTGGGGTGTTGATCTGTGAGTGCCTTGGGTGGGGCCTGGATGAGGCTGGTGGACCTATTGGGAAATGTCTTTTGTGTGAAGTGTATCATTGGGCATGTGGAGGTATTATTGATATGAGAAAATGCTAAGTAACTGATTTACTATCTGAAAAGGGATTTACTATCGGGGAAATTGAGGGAAGAAGAGACTGAACATAAACTGCACCTATGGATGAGGACAATGGGGGATGGGGAGGGGGCAGAGGGTGGGGTGGGAACCTGGTGGAGGGGGGAAGAAATGAGGAACCTTTGTAATAATATGAACAATAAAGATTGATTTAAAAATAAAAATAAAAATAAAATAAAAATAAAAATAAAAATAAAAACTAAAAGCCCGATGCACGAAGATTCTGCTAGACTGGGCTTTCCTTTCCCTGGCTGCCTGCCCCCCCCTTTCCGCTCAGGCCCCAGAGCCGCCTCTTTCTGCTCCGGCTCCTCCTTCCATGCTGCCAGAGGCCCCACGCTGCCAGGGGTGGGGCAGAACGCCTGCATTGTGGAAATGGCAACCACACAAGCATCCTGCCCGCATCACTTGGTGGCTGAGTATGCAAATTAACCGCCATCTTTGTTGGGTTAATTTGCACTAATTGGCTGGTGGCATAGCAGAGGTACAGTCAATTTACATGTTGTCTATTATTAGGTAAGACAAGATAAGAACATAGTATTAGATCATATATTTATTAGGTATTAATATATGATATATGTCTCTATAAGGATTAAACTATAATCTAAGATATTTTTGATCAATAATTATAAAAAAGCTTACCATTAGGGGCGTCTCGTCTTTTCTCTGTCAGAAAATAAATTAAAGAATATTATTAGACATATGTAGACAAAAATCAACATAAACATCTACTTAAACTCCGGTCTTGATTGATTACAGGTGGTTAAGTAAGGTTTCTCTGAGGAACTGACAACTGAGCAGACATCGGAATAAAGTGAGAGAGGGAACATATTCAAAGGCCCTGAGAAGGAAATAGCATGAAGGAACATTATGAAGGCAGGCCCGGAGTGAGATTACGATAGAAGGAGAGCCAGCAACTGGATAATGTAAGGTCCCACAGGCCATAGGTAAGGTATATAGATTGTATTCTATATATAATACAAAGCTCTTATAGGTTTGGAAAATGGCAAGAGACATGATCTAATCTATATTTTTAAAAGTTTATTCTGGCTACTATAAAGAAGATAGTATGAGGCATAGACAGGAAGCAGGGAAACTAGTAAGGGAGTTATAGTCTGGATGACAGGTGATGATGGCTTTAATTAAGGTGAAGGCATCAGAGGTGGTGAGAAACGAATCCAAGACATTTTGAACGTGGAGCCAATGCGACTCACTGACAGGAATTATGAGACCATGGAGAGCCAGAGTGATAAGAGGGAGGAAATTTCTCTTATGGAAGACTAGGCATGGACAAGGAACAGGTCTGACTGGGGTTGGGGAACATGGATCAAGTGTTCTGCTCAGATATACTAAATTTGAAGGCTATTCTGAAACCCAAATAAAGTAGACAAATTTGAAAGTTGATGAGAGGTCAGCAGTGAAGATAAACTTTAGGAATCATCAGCATGGAGACAGTTTCAAAGCTAGAGGGCTGAATTAAAGTACAAAGTTAATGAGAATACTCAAATGTCTAGTAATGGGGCAAACAAACAACAAACAAAACAATAGTGAAAAGCTGTAGCCAATTAGGTAGGGAGTAAAGCAAAGAGAACTGCTATTAATCCTTTGTATTCACACTCTCACATACCACTTTTGAGACAATTTTGGTTTAAAAAGTTCAAAGTAATTAAAGAACTTTAAACAAATATAATTTCCAGACATTTTAAAATTAAGAATTCTCCAAAATTAAAGAGAAAACATACACATGATAAAAATAATTTGATTATAAACAAATTAAGAATCTAGGCAACAGTAAATATAAATATATTACTCCATCTGGTGGTCTCATGAAATAACTTTCTGAAACAGTTGAAGTAATTTAGTCCTATCTATGTCAATGAATGTCTATCTCCAATTTCCAAGATGATGCTTCTCTGCATCCAGGGACGAAATGTTTCTTAAAATTGGTAATAACACAGATGTGGAAATACCCTATCTAACAAAGAGGGAATCTGCAAATTGACCATCACACCATAACAAAATGGCTGTACCCACATTGGAGACAGGGATTCCGTAACACAAGATGGCTGCACCCACACTCCAGGCCAAGTTCCCATAAAAAGCCTTAATGAGCAATCAGCAGGGACCTGAGGCTGCACCCCAGTCCTGCTCTCTCTCCCTCCTCTCCCCCCTTCCCCCCCCCGCCTGGCAGGGTTTGACAAAGGACCTCAGGCTTTGTCCCCTGCCCCAGGCTACACTCCCCCCAACACCCTACACCCAGCAGGACTTGATGGGGGACCTCAGGCCACATCCCCAGCCAGATGGAGCTTGATGGAGGACCTCTGCCCGCCCCTCCTCCCTCTGGCCTCTGGCGAGGGGACCTTAGGCCGTGCCCCCTGCCCTGGTGCCAGGCCATGGGACCAAGGCCATGCCTCCACGGAGCAGGGCTTGATGGGGGACCTTAGGCTGCACTCCCCGCCCACAGGACTTGACGAGTAAACTCAAGACGAGCGCCCCTACCCGAGGGACCTCAGGCTGCACCCCCTGCCCCGGTGCCAGGCTGGGGGACCTGAGGCTGTGCACCCTGCTGGGCAGAGCTTGATAGGGGACCTCAGGTCGCACCTCCCGCCCCAGCGGTTGGGCCAGGAGACCTGAGGCCATGCCCCCACCCGATGGGGCTTAATGGGGGTGAGGCCACCCGGGTCTGGGTCTCGCGTGATTTCAAGGTGCATGTGGGTGGACAGGGACTCTGGTTCCCATGGCACGGCCCAGACTCTGACAGGAGGAAGATTTTCATATACATTTTACTAATTTTCTTTCATCTCTGAGACTTCTATTATAGAGAAAGGGCAAAGAGCAATATTAAAGTATTTCCTCTAATTAATTCTCTTTCAATGTGCATGAATTTCGTGCACCGTGTCACTAGAATTGAGATAAATATGAAGTTGAGTGTGTAAATTCTAAAAGCAATTATTTAGATAATACTATTCCTGCCCCAAAAGTTGAACCCCATACATGTAAGTTAAAGAGAAGTAAGGTTGGAATTTGAGTTAGCATGAAGAGCTACTAAATGATGAATCAGCTCTCTCCCTAATGTTGTGATCTTTCTCCTTTTGAAACACTTTGTCTAAAAGCTTAGGAACTACGGTATATCAAATAGAATTCTTGTACCAGGTAAAAGAGTAAGTGACCTACTAATTTCAAAGTCACTATTATATATTTTAAGAAGTATGTTTTACTCTTTTGCATATTGAAAATGTCACATATTTTGACTGAAAGAAGTCTCGGGAGCTCCTGGCCTATCTCCAGAGCATATCACCGAATTACGCACTGAACCACAAATAATTTGAAACCATTAAATCCTTTCCTAACATGGAATCAAGTGGCAAATGCCTTAGGTGCCAAAAGAAGTAACAAAAATAATAGGCCCCTAATAATTCTCCTATTCACTATTACAAGTGGGATATAATAATTGAGGCAAAAACCTAATTCATTTTCTTTTCTTTTTTTAAAAAAAATATATATATATTTTGATTTTCTTTTCTTTCTTTTTTTTTTTTACAGAGAGGAAAGGAGAGAGATAGAGAGCTAGAAACATCGATGAGAGGGAAACATTGACCAGTTGCCTCCTGCACACCCCTCACCAGGGATGTGCCAGCAACCAAGGTACATGTCCTTGACTGGAATCGAACCTGGGACCTTTCAGTCTGCAGGCTGACACTCTATCCACTGAGCCAAACCAGTTATGGCTTCATTTTATTTTCAGTGTTACCTCACCTCCCACTTTGAAAACCCTTTAAGAGAACAATAAAGATATATAAACTAGAATATATACTTTTATATTCCTGTTTCCTAATCCAGTTTCTACAATTTTTATGGTTTATTTCCTCTTATCGGTAAAATACAATCCTGAATACAGTAATCTTTAAACTGGGGTAACATGCACCCCTGGGTGGCAGAAAGACTTTTCAAGGAGTATACGGGAATGGCTAGTGTTAAAGGAATTTATTTGCTCACCTCAACTCCATGTGTTATTTCTCCTACAACTGATCTGCTTAAGATAATTCTGGAGAGCTTCCCCTTTCTTCATGACTGTCCTTCTCCTACTTTATAACAGAAAGATCTTGCACACTGTCAAATAGCTATATACCAAAGAATTTAAAGCTCTATGCTGCAATGCATCGTTCTCTAATTGTTTTATGTGTATTAGCATCTTATGCATTAAACTAAGTTCCTTATGATTTCATCATTTACAACATTAGGGACAAAATAGAGACAAGGCAATGTTTATAGATCTTGTTGTAACTTTGATTATTTGCTTCAAAACTTGCCTAAAGTATTTGTTCACCAATTATGAAATACTTTTAAAATGTAAGTTACAAATAATGCCATAAAAATGCAAATTTAAAAGTCAGTATATAATTTTTAATGTAAGGATTAGCAACTTTAAAAAAAATAAAAAAACCAGATAGTAAATATTTTAGATTTTCTTTTTTTTTTTTTTTTTCCCAGTCATAACTACCCAACTGTGTTGTGTGGCAAAAAGCAGTCATAACAATATGTAACCCAATGAGCATAACTGTGTTTAAAAAAACTTTATTTACAAAAACAGGCAATGGGCCAGATCTATCCTGAAGCCATAGCTTGCTAGCTTCTGCCAAAAGGAATTAGAAAGAAAAAAAAAATTTTTTTTTTTTTTTTTTTTTTACCAGATTTCCTCTGTCGTCGGCCCAACAAGTCCATAACTGCTTTTCGGAACTTTTTTGCTTCTTCTTCATTGGCAAAATTAAGAGCAACTTGACAAGTCTAAAATATTTTTCATCAAAAAGGTAAACAACAAAAAACATAAATTTAGTTTTATATAACAAAAAGGTAATAACCAACAGAAGTATATTTCTAAAGAAAAGTTTTACTTTATTAAAAGAACTCATTTTATGAAATGAATAATTTAAGAAGGCAAAAAATAAAAAGGTAAAATAAAAGACTAATTTTAGAAAAGTAATCTATCACAGTAGATACTCAAATATTAAATTGAATTTCTTCAAAAAACAACAGAGGCAAATTGAATTTGATCCTTCAATAGAGCTCTGTATATAACTTAGATTAGAAAAAGCGAACACTGGAAATGTGGGCAAAATGCAGATCAACTATCTTTATTAGCTTGTTTTTATTCTGCAGTTTAATTATAGGCATTATTTAAATTAAAATCTTAATTCAGGTAAATTATTAAAAATATAAAAACATACTGACATTATTATTAAAGACAATTAATATACACTTTTAAATATGTACATACTTATATCAAGAGAAATATGAAAAATCATAGCAAAAGGAAAAAAAACTGTCAGAAAAGATAGATATACCATCTAATCCAAACCTTCTTTCACTGAAGAACAGTTACAAAATAAAAGTAAAAAAACAAAAATTAATTCACCTATAATTCATTCACTCAGATAATCCCTGTGAGCATCTATATACTAAAAAGCCAGGGTCATAATGACCATTACGACCGAAGGCTTGACCAGACCCGAAGACAGTGCTGGGGGTGACCCAGCATTGACTGGGGCCACTGCCAGTGCCTGACCCAGCACTGACTGCCTTGGGGGGTGGGGGGGGGTGGGGGGGCGGGGAGAGAAACACTGCAGATCAGGCCTGGAGAGAGGCCTGCAGAGAGAGGGGCAGGTTCTGATCTGTAGCCTCTGTGGCAGCCAATGATCAGAACTTGCCTCTTTTTCTCTCCCGACCTGGCCAACAGCCACACCTCCATTTCTCTCCAGGCCTCCACTGGGGCTGCTGATCAACCCCGACTTTCTGATTAGGCTCCATTAATGGGCCCAGAGACACTGAATAGCATAGAAACTGACCAAGCAGAACCAAATCTGGGTGAATGTAAGGAGCTAATGGCTGCCTAGGAGGCGGACTTTTTGACTCTGACTGGCATAGAAACTGAAACAAATCTGGGTATCTGTGAGGAGCCAATAGCTGCCTAGTAGGCAGAGCTTTTGATGCTGACTAGCATAGAAACTGACCAATCAGAACCAAATTGGCCACAGAGGAGGGCAGTTGGGGGCGAGATCAGACCAGCAGAGGAGGGCATTAGGGGCAATCAGGCAGGCAGAGGCAGTTAGGCCAGCAGGGGAGAGCAATTAGGGGCACGATCAGGCTGGCAAGGGAGGGCAGTTGGGGACAACCAGGCTGGCAGGGGAGGGCAGATGGGGGTGAGATCAGGCTGGCAGGGCAGTTAGGGGTGATCCGGCAGGCAGGCAGAGGCAGTTAGGGGAGATAAGGCAAGCAGGTAGAGGGGTTAAAGGCAATCAGGCAGGTGAGTGATTAGAAGCCAGTGATCCCAGATTGTGAAAAGGGTGTCCTACATCCTAAATCGGTGGTCAGACATCCCCTGAGGGGTCCTCAATTGGAGTGGTTGCAGGCTGAGCTGAGGGAACTCTCCCTTCCATGCACAAATTTTGTGCACTGGGCCTCTAGTATGGTATAAAAATCTTTCTAACATTTTCCCCAAGTATATTCAATATATATATTTTTTAATATATTTTATTGATTTTTCACAGAGAGGAAGAGAGAGGGATAGAGAGTTAGAAACATCGATGAGAGAATCATCTGACCAGCTGCCTCTTGCACACCCCCCTACTGGGGATGTGCCCGCAACCAAGGTACATGCCCTTGACCGGAATCGAACCCAGGATCCTTCAGTCTGGAGGCCGACGCTCTATCCACTGAGCCAAACCGGTGCCAGCAATTCAATATATTTTTTAAATTGCCCTCCTTGCCCCATTTACTGTATTTTAGTGTTCTTCTAGGTCATAAACTACTCTTTCAGAAAATAATTTGCATGGCAAAAGAATATTCAATATTTAAAAACTACCATGCATTAGTGAACAATTAAGATTTCACTTTTATACATAAGAAAACACAGAGAGATTAAACTATCTGCCCCAAAACAGAGAAGATAAAAGAAAAAAAAGAAAAAAAATTCAGCCCAGCCCACATGCTTCAGTGAGGTCACAGTTCCATTCCCATTCAGGCTCATCCCCAGGTTGTGGGCTCAGTACCCAGTGTGGTGTGTGTAAGAAGCAGCCAGCCCATCAATGATTCTCATCATTGAAGTTTCTCTCTCTCCTTCTTTCTTCCTCTCCAAAATCAATAAAAAAAATTTTTTTTAAAGAAAAAGATCAAACTTCCTTTCTACATAGCAAATTACATTTATAGTTCTCTATAAAACCCATTTCTGCCTGGCTAACATGGCCCAGGGGTTGAGCATCGACCTATGAACTAGGAAATCATGGTTGGATCCCCTGTCAGGGCACGTGCCCAGGTTTCAGGTTGGATCTCCGGTAGGGGGTGTGCAGGAAGCAGCGGATCAATGGTTCCTCTCATCACTGATGTTTCTCTCCCCCCCCTCCCTTTCTCTCTCTAAAATCAATAAAAATATACACATTAAAAAAAAAACCTTAGCCATTTCTTCCAATGTAGCTATCATCTCTATAAAGTTTTTAAAAGTAAAATAATTATTTTTCTATACAATGCTTACACAGAAAACTCATAAATGGTTTCCACAGACAAATGTAAAAGCAATTACATTAAACAAGGCAATAAAGAAAAATATAGCTTACATCTCCAGCAAATGTATGAAAATATCCTCTAGGACTATTATATACAAAGTTATTGTATAGTTCTTGCTCCCACAATAGTTTCCCATCCTAAAAAAAAACAAGTAAAAGCTAGAGTTAACAAGAAGATAATCTGTAGGAATAAAACAAAAAAGATCACTAGTATTAAGGGAATTACTTATATTAATAGCTCTTACATATACACATAAAAATACATAATACATAAGTTACACACTATAATTTAATCAGTAATTTCTTAATCCTAGATAATGTTTCTCTCATAAAAAGTACATACCATGTGCTTTTAATTCAGTGTGCTATGACATAATCTCATTAGCCAAGCACTCCCAAATACAGTTATACTTGTTCAATTACATAACTAATACAATTACTAGATCAATATTAGGTAGAATACTTTTGTACATGCACTGTTTATCAATGCATAATTTTATCAGCAATATTTATAGACTGTATATTATTAAATATTACCAGAAGAGTCCATGTTCTTTTTCTCAATTCTCTAGATGCTAGAAGGGTGAAATATACCTTCTCTGTACTGCCCATTAACAATCTCTGAATTCCTAACTCTTGCAGAGTAGCCTCCTAATTGGACACTGGTATAAGCAGCAGTATCAATCATGTGCAGAAAAAAAACAATGATTAGAGTGCACCACGGTTAAACTATGGTTAAGAGAACCATGGATGATTATCATATCTATGGCCCTAGTATAACAAATATAATTAACCTTAATACCAAAGGTGACTAATTGCAAGTATTCAGCAACGGTTATCCACAATCGAAAATAACTAGTTAGGAAAATACAATCATTGCCCAATTCTGAAATCTAAGGTTATCCCTATACCAAAATTTAATATTTACAACACAATGTACACTGTATGATCACTATACAGGAATTCCTTTCTTCTTACTACTTCTCATTATTGATGAGAAATAAAATGGAGCAAAAGTAGGTTTTCAGTAGTGAGTAGGCAAAACATAAGAGTTTATTCTTGCATTATAATTTATTATATTTTCCAAATGAACAACTGTAAACTTCTTTTGCCCCACCTTGTCAAAGGACTCAGAAATTTCTTTCACACTATGCAGGTGTTCTCTCACTTCCCATAATCACTGCCACAGCAAGCCACTGTTAGTAACAAGAATATGCCACATATCTCAGCTGTCTTGGGGTATGGAAATATAGATGGTAAGAAGCACTAAAAGCCCTGGTTGGGGTGGCTCAATTGGTTGGGTATAGTCCCGTGCACTAAATTACCAGTTCGATTCCCAGTCTGGGCACATGCCCAGGTTTCGGGCTCGATCCCTGGTGGGAGGTGTGCAGGAGATGGCCAATTGATGTTTCACATTCATATGGATATTTCTTTCTCCCCCACCCCCAATAAATTTAAACATCTAAAAAAACAAAAATAAAACCCAACTATAAAACATTAATTTACAAAGTGCAATTCCCTGGCCAAATAGTTCAGTTGGTTAGAGCATCATCCAGATACACCAAGGTTGAGTTTTTGATCCCCCGTGTCAGAATACATACAAGAATCAACCAATGACTGTATATATAATTAGAACACAAATCAATTATTTCTCTCTCTCTCCCCCTAAAATCAATCAACCAGCCAAAACCGGTTTGGCTCAGCAGTAGAACATCGGTCTGTGGACTGAAAGGTCCCGGGTTCGATTCCGGTCAAGGGCATGTACATTGGTTGCGGTCACATCTCCGGTGGAGGGTGTGCAAGAGGCAGCTGGTCGATGTTTCTCTCTCATTGACGTTTCTAGCTCTCTATCTCTCTCCCTTCCTCTCTGTAAAAAATCAATAAAATATATATATTTTTTTTAAAAATCAATCAACCAATAAACAAAAAATACTTCACTAGGCAATATGTGGCTGTTGAAAAAAACAACAACAACACATATACAATACTCCCCTCCCCCCAAAAATCAAAAGTGCAGTAGCTTAAATCTCATTTAATCTCAGGGAAATACTTTGCAACAAGACCCAAATGGTTATCCCATTTTACAAATAATTAAGCTGAGGCCTAGAGAAGTAAAACAGTTTGACTATAATCATGAAAGCATCATAGAAGAGTTCAAAGACAATTTTAGTTTTCTGTAATTATAATTCCATTATACTTATTGTTACACACAAATATTAAAGAGGCTTACCTATGGGAAAGGTTTCAAAAGGTAAATGGAGACTTCATCTCAGCAAAGAGAATTACTTTAATAATAGCTAGAATGGAAGGATAACTGACAAAGAACAGTCTATCTAGGACAATGTGAATGTGGACTTATGTTTCAGAGTGAGGGATACAAGGCTGCAAAAATGTGAACATACCCATCTTGAGAGGAACATAAGGAAAAGTGGGCAGCAAATACATTATCATCATCATTATTTTTAATCCTCATTTGAGAACACATGGGAGGAGCGAGGGAGGGAGAGAGGGAGGGAGGGAGAGAGAGAGAGAGAGAGAGAGAGAGAGAGAGAGAGAACACAAATATGAGAATCCACTGCCTTCCCAGACATGTCCTGATCCAGGATCAAACCCACAACCTCGGTATGTGCCCTAACTGGGACTTCAACCAGCAACCTTTTGGTGCACAGAACAATGCTCAACCAACTGAGCTACTCCGGCTGGGTGCAAATACATTACTATATATAAAGTACAATGCTTTAAACCAGAGCTGAGTAAATGACAGTATATACCAAACTAAAAGATATAGTTCTTTGAAAGGACTATATATGATAGTGTGTATTAATAGTAGACAGAATGGAATAAAAGAGTATCATAGAAAAGAAGAGAATGTGGAGAAAGCCTAAGACCCAAAGGCATAGAATAAATAAAGTAGTTTCTAGAAGATAAAATAGGAAACTATTCATGTCTGGTTTAGGAGATGTTCCCATTTGGTCTCAATTTCCAGGCTTCAATGTCTAAAACCAAGCTTTGCCCTTGTAATACGAATTCATGTATAACTTGTAATACGAATTCATGTATAACTTTATATATGGTATAAACAAATCTATACTAAATTGTAATTGAGGTAGAAAATCTAATCACCTGCAGTTTAGAGGAAGCAAAACACAACTCACCTTAATATCAAATATTCTTAAAAAATAAGATCTCTGTGGATTGTCTTTAACCAGACAAGCAACACCACTGCACTTCTTTGACCACATACAATTCCGATCTGCTGCATATAATTGTACCACTGCTGAAGACATAGTCTGCAATATAAAAAATTTATAGCCATTAGGTTCAAAATAACACTCAACTGACTGCAGTCCCTGCTGACATATTGATGCAGTCTACCGAGAGACACCGAACCAGAACCACCCAGTTAGGCTGCTCCTGAATTCCCGACCCATAGAAAAAGGAATTAATAGTTAAGTGTTATTTTAGGACACTACTTTAGAAGCAATTTCTTATGTAGTAATAAATAATAGCTATACTAAAAATAATTATTGAAAGCTAACATGTACTGATGCTTAAAATGTGTTAGAAAATGTGCTTAAGCACATTCAAATATAACTCCCTTTAATTTTTATTACTATTAGATCCTCATTTTATGCTTGAGAAACCCAAGGTTAAAGAGGATCAATACTAGTAATTTGTCCATAACCGAAAACCTAAGTGGCAGAGTTGAAATTCCCATGCAGATAATGTGAGTTCAAATTCTGTATTCTTATTCCCTGTAATAAACTGTTTTCCAATAAAATGAACATTCAAGCAATTAAGAAGTATTATTAGCAAAGGCTGATTTCTGTATAGCAACTAGTAACCACTTTAGTATAGCTATTAAGTCAAACTTGAAAACAAGCTACTAATTATAGTGCAGTGCCCTTTTAGGTGCATAGGAGAGCTAATTCATTACATGCAAGAGACACCTTAGTCCCCAACATTCAGGTTTTCCAGTACACAATGTTGCCACCTCCCTCATAACTATATCACATAACAATGGAAATTTTCACTTAATTCTAAATTAAGTTATTTTATAGCATAATCTAGAATGTAACTATTGGATTTTAAGTTTCTATAAGAGTGGTACATACATATATTGGTACAGCACTTATAAATCCTATATAATAGAGGTGATATGCAAATTGACTATCATGCCCTCACACAAAATGGCTAGCAGGGGCAGGCAGTTGTGGGCGATCAGGCCGGCAGGGGAGGGCAGTTGGGGGCCATTGGGCTGGCAGGGGAGGGCAGTTGGGCATCAATCAGGCTGGCAGGCAGAAGTGGTTAGGGGCAATTAGGCAGTCAGGCAGGCAAGCAGTTGGGAGCCAGCAGTCCTGGATTGTGGGAGGGCTAACATCCCCCGAGGGGTCCCAGATTGAAGGGGGTGCACGAATTTCATCACCAGGCCTCTAGCCCTATATAATAAAAGGGTAATATGCAAATCGACTGTACGGCAAAATGACCAGTCGCCATGATGTGCACTGAACACCAGGGGGCAGACGCTCAATGCAGGAGCTGCCCCTGGTGGTCAGTGTGCTCCCATAGGGAGAGTGCCACTCAGCCAGAAGCTCTGAGTTGGGCTCATGACCGGTGAAGCACAGCTGTGGTGGCAGGAGCCTCTCCCACCTCCGTGGCAGTCAGTCGGACATCCCCAGAGGGCTCAAGGACTGCAAGAGCGCGCAAGCCGGGCTGAGGGACCCCTACACCCCAGGGCACTGGGCCTCTAATCATTTATAATCATGTTTTCTGATCCAGTAATTTCATTCCTAAACTAAAAAATTATGAAATAATTTAAAACATAACAACAACAACAACAAAAAATAGCCCTGGCCAAGTGGCTCAGTTGGTTGGAGCACAGTCCTGTACACCAAATGGCTGTGGGTTCAATTCTGGTCAGGGCACATGCCTATGTTGTGGGTTTGATCCCTGGTCAGGGCACGTGCAGGAGGAACCAACTGATGTTTCTCTCTTACATCAATGCTCCTCTCTTGCTTTCTCCCGCTTCTTCTCTCTAAAATCAATAAAAACATATCCCTACGTGAGAATAAATAAAATATAACCAAAATTTATTTTACTATGAATATAAAGAAAAATATGTATATAAACATATGCTAATTATTTTTTAATAGACTTTAAATATCCAAAAAATGGAGATGATTAAATAGTTATGGTAAATCCATTCAATGAATATTGGGCACTGTAATAAAAAAGAGTACATTAAGATTTGAAGGTAACGTTGTTTTGATTACCAAACTATGCCTAGGAAATGACCCCCTATGATAAGAACTATTATATGTATATGTACAAGTCTCTTATAATAATAATAAAAGTAAAGATTTTTTATATATATATAGTAATATATATAATTGCTTTATTATAATAATATAGTAAAAAGTAAGATCAGTATACTGTTAGGGACTAAAATTTCATGAAGACATACTATATTCCCAGATAACAGTGCTCCATTGTATGTTGCAGACCAAACTCAACTTTGAATTTCACAGTCATCAACAGGACACAAAGCAGCAGAAAAATGTCCACAAGAGACATTTAAAGTTATAAAGATAACTTAGAAACTAGGACAATAGGTTTTAAAAAGGAGAGTGAAGAATATGAGTATGGCTTTGGCCTGCTCTAAACATACTGTGCTCTTCTGTAAGTACAGTCCCAGCATGACAGCTCCATAGGCTCTCTAACCCTAAATCTTAGCATTGAAAACTACAGAAAAATGGATTTTACATATATTATCCAATAGTGTAAGAGATGAGGTTAAAGAATTCAAAAATCAGATGGGAAAATTGTATTCTAAAGAAAATTCCTATAAATTACAGCCTTTTTAGTATGGTGCTATCCAAATGCATTCATTTCTAAAAATAAAAGCAGTTAGGAGACCAGATACCACTAAAGAGATCTAAAAATTCTTGTATTTTACTTTTTAACCAAAAAACAAAAAGTAACAGCTTGCAAAAGAAAAAAAAATGTCTTATTTTTAAAAATATATTTTATTAATTTTTTTACAGAGAGGAAGAGAGAAAGAGCGAGCTAGAAACATCAATGAGAGAAAATCATCGACCAGCTGCCTCTTGCACACCCCCTACTGGGGATGTGCCTGCAACCAAGGTACATGCCCTTGACCGGAATCAAACCTGGGACCTTTCAGTCGGCAGGCCGACACTCTACCTACTGAGCCAAACCGGTTTCGGAAAAAAAAAAAAAAAAAAAAAAAAAAAAAAAAAGTCTTATTAGAGTCTACTTCTATTATGGAAACCTCTTGCCATAGGATTAACATTATAAAACATTGTCTAGATGTGTATGTGATTTTTAAAACAATAACAAATTCCCATAACTAAAAATACATATTTAAATGTTGACATAGGTTTAAAACAAATTCTTAAAATATTTGCTTAAAAAATAGACCCATGAAACAGTTTTATAATTTTCCATGCAAACACAGTTGGAATTATAACCTTATTCTAAAACAACTTATAATAGGTTAATATTAAAGGACCCAACTAATCATAAGCAATTTTCAGTAAGTGGATTTTTAAAATTTTGCTACAACCTTTTGTTAGTCCATTTCACTCCTTATTTAAACTGGCAAAGTCAGAAAATTATACACCTTTTAAAATCTTTTCTGATTAATTCAGAATAATTATAGCAAATGCAAGAATAGCTTTAACACATAAAATTTGATATAAATACTAGAAATAAAAATTGACTATCCCTTAAACTCTAGACTGACAAGGGACTTAATTAAGTTTTTAAAAACATTCCTTCCATTCCTTTCAAGTAATTACAGCTAATCTACTCCATTACTTCTTGTCTTTCTTAATCAAAAAGGTATTACTTGAAAAACAATCTAAGGACAAGTGCTTAGGAAAGGAAATCTATTTCTTATTAGCTCAAAAATGTTAGGGTTAAAATTTATTAATTAAAAGGAAAAACAGTACTCTACCAACTTTTGTAGAAATAGAGCCTATTTTACACATCTTCTTATTACAGTACTGAGTTAATACAGTAACACATTCATCCTCAGAACTTTCATTTTCAAATAAGATGGAGGATACCCCTAGTCAGTGTGCTCCAGTTGGTTATGTGTGACCCATGCTCTGAAAGATTCCCAGTCAGCACATATGCCTATTAGGTTCAATCCCTGCAGGGGGTGCAGGCGGCAGCCAATCCATGTGCTGCTCTCACATCATGTTTCTCTTTTCTCTCTCTCAAGGAGCTATATAGGTAGAAAAGAGATTAGTAGCATGGGGTTACAGACTTAAAGTAACATCAAACATGGCTCATTTCTGTGATTTTTGAGAGATAAAACAACCACATACAGTTTGGAAACCTTGTTTGGAGATGTGGTACAGTGGTATTTAACGTGTCTCAGTAATCTAGTTCTTGTATACTCTCCACCCCCACTGACCCTGTGTGTGTCCAGCTGACTTGCTTTAACCAACAGGACCTCAGCAAATGGAAGCAGAAGCTTGAAAAATACTTGCACATTGTGGCTTGCCCTCTTGGTGATACTGGAATTTCCATCAAGGATTACACTTCTAAATCTGCCCAAATCCAGCAATACCCTGTCTTTTCTTGAAGCACACGATACATTTAGACCCGATCTTATCTGTTAAAAGTATTAGAGATGTTTTTTTCCCTCCTATTGACTCCCCTCTTCCAAACTATTGTCCCCTTTTCAGGCCTTCATCCACTACTGTCTGTGCCGATGGGTTATGCACATAGGCACGTAAATTCTTTGGTTGATCTTGTCCCACCCATCTCCCTCACCCCTCTAGGAATCCCGTCTGCAGCATGCTTCCATAAACTGCTTTGTCAATTTATTTTGCTAATTAGATTCCACCTATAAGGGACGTCATGTGATATTTTTCTTTTTCTGACTGGCTCATCTCACTTAGCATAATGCTATCCAGGTCCCTCCATGCTGTCTCAGAGGGTATAAGACCCTTCTTTTTTACAGCTGCATAGTATTCCAGTGTAAATGTACCACCACTGTTGTATCCATTCATCTACTGATGGGCACTTGGCTGTTTCCAGATCTTAGCTATTCTAAGTAATGTTGCAATAAACATAGGTATACATATATTCTTTCTGATTGGTATTTCAGACTTCTTAGGATATATTCCTAGAAATGGAATCACAGGATCAAATGGAAGTTCCAATTTAATTTTTTGAGGAAATTCCACAGTTTCCCGTAGACTATACCAGTCTGCATTCCTACCAGCAGTATACTAGAGTTCCCTTTTCTCCACAT